TTTAATTCCACATGGATTTTTCCGTCACGAGAATTTTTAATAATGTTGTGGCTTCCTTCCTTGTTTTTCCATCAAGCCACTAGACGCCTTAAACAGACAGTTCTAACTCGTTTCTTTCCTTTTAAATTACTCACAGTTTGAAGTGTTGCTTGGCGTCCGATGGTTTAGAAGATGTTGCGATGTGTTTGCTCAAAATAAAATAACAAACTTTTGCACATGCAACAAAGAAACATAGGCCTTTACAATATTCAAAAGAAATAGGCAAAACTTAAATAAAACAACACAACTTCGGTATTCTTTCTTTCTTGATAATGCTTATAAATTCACAAATTAAAGGGTATTTGTACGGTTTGTATGTACGTGTATTACGATTACGGTTAAAAACTGTTCCTCGACGGCGTCTCTCAACAGGTTGCCCATCACTGTGGCGTTAGCACAGGCGCCGTGGGAATTGTTGTCCTTTATAGTGCGTTGACTACAGATGTCACAATTAGGTGGCCTTTCTTATCAAATCAAAAATACTGGCTCTAACAAGCCCCATTAACTGAGTTTTAAACATCACTTTAAATTGAAGATCCCCATAGGCCCCGCCCACTCGATCGGATCGGCGATCGGTATCGGCCGATACTGATTCCGGCGATTGGCGATCAGCCCCAAAATTGAGGATCGGAGCATCCCTAATAAATATGTTCAATAATAAATTAAATCTAATCTAATCTAAAATGTTACTTGATAAACAATAGGGGAACTAGTACAAAGGTCATTAAGTAATTAAAACATTAATATAAATTAATGTAAAATCTCATCAATCAATCAATTATTGCCAACATGTATTTATAATATATTCTGTATATATATATATATTTATTTATTTTTGAGAGAGATATACACTAGTATTAGACGCAGTCAAAAGTTTGGACACATCTTCTCTTTCGAAGTTTTTATTTAAATTGGTTCTACTTTCTAGATTTATACTGAAGACATCAAAACTATAAAATAACACATTAAAGGTGGGGTAGGTAATTTTGGAGAAACCAGCTCGAGTGCGCTAGAATTTGAAAATACACAACCGGAAAAATCTGCCACTTCCTCACAGAGCCCCTCCCCCAACACACACGAACGCGCACATGACCAATGAGGGCACGAGATAAGTTTGTGCACAGATGGAAGGCTGACAGGCAGGTAGGCCATCCAGTTACTTTAGCCGGCTCAGATGATTGGTCATGCTTTTTACAGTACTGCGGCTTCCACAGATGACATGTTTTTATGGATTTTTTTGTCAAAGCACTTAAGATGTTCATTGCTATCGGGATGTTAAGAGCATTCCATGGAATATAACAAAAAGTATATCTCGAGCCGGTTTCTCAAACGTACCTACCCCACCTTTAACTAGAATGATCTAGTTAACAAAAAAGTGTTAACAAATCCAGAATATGATTTATATTTTGCTGGCTACTGCAGAATGCTGTGGTAGCCATGCTGGTTAAGGGTGCCTTGAACTCTGAATAAATCACCAACATTAACCTCTCATTAAACTGGGTGAGAGATTATTTAAGCAACAGACAACAATTTGTTGAAATTGGTGAACATAAATCAGAATACATGAACATAACTTGTGGAGTACCTCAGGGGTCCGTGTTGGGTCCAAAGCTGTTCATAATATACATCAACGACATTTGCAGAGTATCAAATATATTGAAATGTATTTTATTTGCAGATGACACTAATATTTTTTGTTCCGGTGACAATTTGAAAGAGCTAATGAAAGTGATAACAGCAGAAATGATTAAAGTAACACATTGGTTTGACACAAACAAATTATCATTACATATAAGCAAAACAAAGATTATGTTATTTGGAAAACATAAAACAAATCCACAGATACAATTAATACTAGATAACACATAGAAAGAGTATATGAAATGAAGTTCCTTGGTGTGGTTTTAGACCACAAAATCAGCTGGAAACCTCATATCACTCATGTAAAAGCAAAACTGGCTAAAACTATTGCAATATTGGGAAAAGCCAGATACATTCTGGACTACAACTCATTGCATACTCTATATAACACACTCATATTGCCATATCTGATTTACTGTGTGGAGATTTGGGGAAACACGTACAAAACCAACCTACAGCCGTTATGCACATTACAAAAAAGGGCTATAAGAGTTATCAATAATGTTGGATATCTTGAACACACTAATGTATTATCTTTGAAGTCACACATATTGAAGTTCATTGATCTGGTTAAATTTAAAACGTACAAATCACATACAAATCATGTACAGAGCAAGACATAATCTACTTCCTAGGAAATTAAAAACATTGTTCATAGACAGAGAGGGTGGGTATAATTTGAGAGGAAATCTACATTTTAAACAACTCAAGGTCAGAACAACTATGAGAAGTATGAGTTTAACAATCTGTGGGGTGATTTTATGGAATGGTTTGGAGCAGGAGTTCAAACAAAGCACAAGCATAATTCAGTTTAAAAGGATGTACAGAAACACTTTTTTGGAAAACTATGAGAATGAAGAAGGTGATTGAAGATGAGAAATTATTGTATATGTATGTATAAATGTAAATGTATGTAGGAATAACTTGCATAATGATTTAAAGGACAATCATTGATCAAGTAAGGGGTGGGAATTAATAAGCATTTGCTTCCTCCTACTCCCTTTCGGACACATATGATTTATTATTAATATGAAGACATTTTTTGTTTTTTTGTTGAATATACACCATGAATGTGGATAAATACTGTATTATAACAATACGGTATTCTGTTTTTTACATTTGTTATTTGTTATTTTTTAATCTGTTCGAAATAAAGACTGAAAGAAGGAAACAGTGACACCAGTAAAGCCCCCCCCACCATCTCACCCCCTCCTCCATGCTTCACGGTGGGAACCACTCATTCAGAAACCATCCGCTCACCTTCTCTGTGTCTCACAAAGACACAGAGGTTGGAACCAAAAATCTCTCATTTGGACCCATCAGACCAAAGTACAGATTTCCACTGTCTAATGTCCAATCCTTGTGTTTCTTGGCCCAAACAATTCTCTTCTTCTTGTTGTTCATCCTCAGTAGTGGATCTTTGCAGCAATTGGACCTTAAAGGCCTGATTCACGCAGTCTCCTCTGAACAGTGGATGTTGAGATTGTCTGCTACTTGAGCTCTGTGATCATTTATGTGGGCTCTAATCTGAGGTGCTGTTAACTTGCGGTTTCTGAGGCTGGTAACTCTGATGTGTTTATCCTCTGCAGCAGAGGTAACTCTTGCTCTTCCTTTCCCGGGGGGTCCTCATGAGAGCAAGTCTCATCATAGCGTTCCATGGTTTTTGCGACTCCACTTGAGGATACATTCAAAGTTCTTGACATTTTCCGGATCGATTGGCCTTCATTTCTTAAAGTGATGATGGACGGTCACTTCTCTTTACTGAGTTGAGTCGTTCTTGCTATAATATGGATTACAACAGCAGTCAAATAGGGCTTTCCACTGTGCACTAACTCTACCTCTGCACAACACAACTGATGGTCTCAAACACATTCAGAAGGCAAGTCATTCCACACATTGACAAGGCACACGTGTTAATTGAAAACCATTCCAGTTGACGACCTCATGAAGCTGACTGAGAGAAGCCCAGAGTGTGTAAAGCTGTCATCAAGGCAAAAGGGGCTACTTTGAAGAATCTAAAATAAAAATAATTTTCTTGATTTTTTGTAACACTTTTTTTGTTAACTAGATAATTCCATATGTGTTCTTTCATAGTTGTGATGTATTCAGTGTTAATCTACAAAGTAGAAACAAATTTAAAAAAGCAAAAAACATTGAATGAGAAGGTGTCCAAACTTTTGACTGGTACTGTATATAAAAAAAACACACATATTTGAACATTTAGCAGGTTCCCTCATCTATAATCATTTATACAAGCGCAACTTTGAACATGTACAGCAGTAAAATGCAACATACAAAATAATCAAGAAACAACATAAATGAAACACTGACAGGGAACATTTTACTGCACCATCATTACTGTTTCATAGGAAGGTGCCGTCAAATGTTCTGTTAATACTTGCATACTTTTACTTAAATAAGGTTTGAATGCAGGATTTTAATTTGTAACAGGGTATTTTCATTCTATACTGTAGGCATAGTGTATCTGTGAACAATCCCAAATACAATTCCTTGTTTACATTGCGGCTAGTGCTACGCCAGAAGAAAAAACCCTTTTACATTTTTAACTGGAAGTGGAAAGGGGCTGGGCTACATGAGGTGACTTGAGCCAACACAAATACACAATAGGTGGGACTAAGAAAGATAATGTGAAAATATAAAAACAAAGGCATTCATTAGGGCTGCAAAATGTCTCCCATTGTAATGGTGATGAGAGTTTTTAAATGCTAACACTTAACAGTTTGTTCTGACTGTGTTTCCTGTTTCCTGCAGACGTCCAGCAGCTGGTGGTGGTTAAAGAAGAGCTTCTCCCTGACCAGCAGGAGTGGAGAACCAGTCTGGACCAGGAGGACCCAGAGCCCCCCCCACACATTAAGCTGGAACAGGAGGGAGAGCAGCTTCAGGAGCTGGAGGAGGCTGATATCACCAAGTCCACTTTCACTCCTGACCCTCTGAAGAATGAAGATGATGAAGAGAAACCTCAGTCCTCTCAGCCTCATCAAAGACAAACTGAACACATGGAAACAGAAGCTGATGGAGATGACTGTCGAGGACCAGACCCAGCCAGGAACTCAGATCCAGAGAGCAGTTTGCAACCAAAGACTGAAGACCACACTGGAGACACTTCTGAACCTGACACTGGAGACTCTTCTGAACCTGACACTGGAGACTCTTCTGAACCTGACACTGAAGACTCTTCTGAACCTGACACTGAAGACAGTGCTGATTGGAAAGAGACCAGAGAACCTGCCTCAGGCTCAAACTCACTGAAAAATAGACATGATTCTGTCAGTGATCCACAAGGTAGTGCTGAAAAGAAACCATTCAGCTGCTCAGTCTGTAAGAAAGCTTTTTCACAGAGTGGAAATTTAAAGACACACATGAGAGTCCACACAGGAGAGAAACCATTCACCTGCTCAGTCTGTAAGAAAGCTTTTTCACAGAGTGGAAATTTAAAGGACCACATGATAATCCACACAGGAGAGATACCACACAGCTGCTCAGTCTGTAAGAAAGCTTTTTCACAGAGTGAACATTTAAAGAGACACATGAGAGTCCACACAGGAGAGAAACCATTCAGCTGTACAGTCTGTAAGAAAGCTTTTTCACAGAGTGGATATTTAAAGACACATATGAGAATCCACACAGGAGAGAAACCATTCACCTGCTCAGTCTGTAAGAAAGCTTTTCCACAGAGTGGATATTTAAAGACACACATGAGAATCCACACAGGAGAGAAACCATTCACCTGTACAGTCTGTAAGAAAGCTTTTCCACAGAGTGGATATTTAAAGATACACATGAGAGTCCACACAGGAAATAAACCATTCACCTGTACAGTCTGTAAGAAAGCTTTTTCATATGGTGGAAGTTTAAAGGAACACATGAAAATCCACACAGGAGAGAAACCATTCACCTGCTCAGTCTGTAAGAAAGCTTTTTCACATAGCGGACGTTTAAAGGAACACATGGTAATCCACACAGGAGAGGAAAAATAGATCCGGAAAGTTTATGACAAAATATTTAAAAGTGTGTTGGTAAGGGAATACATTTGTCTATTTTGTATCCTAATGCCGTTACATGTAATACGTTACTCGCTAAGACTGTTTTCACCCACCTGCAACCGATTCGCTAATAATCACAAATGTTCATTTCTTCGACCCCTTGACTCGACTATTTCTTGTTTAATAATCGTTACATCTCCTCAGGACCAAGTTCCCGTGTCCTGCCTTTCACCTGCTGATCACCCACTGCTCATTTAAGGTGGACTCACCTTTACAAGGGACCAGCTAGTCTTAGTGTCTTAATGCAAACGTTTTGTAAAGTGATGCTAGACCAACAACGTGCTGTTGGGCTGTGTGCTCTCTGCAGGACGGTGTCTGTACTCAAAGAATGTTGATGAAATGAGAGCTTCACTCTGTTTTTGTTGTCTAAACAACGCCAACAGAGCGATATGTCTTCTTTCCAGCAGATGACATAAATGTTACATCATGCAGTTCAACTGTCATCCACATATTAATGATTCAAAACAGCAATGTGTGAGATAAGGCTAGTCATTGACTATTTCAACAGAATGTGAAGATGTTACAGTCTTGAGGCCATGTCCAATATGTTTGTGTTTTGTTTTATTACATCGACTGAAATGAGCATTCAATGACTCAATTATTCTGAATTACTGTCATTACATCATGGGTTTGCATTGCAATATTAGAACGCATAAAACCCAACTTTATTTCTTCCAAGTTGCGGGTGTTCATTGTTTAGAAGTCCGCTGTGTTTCATCCAAGCTTCCACTTCGTGTTCCGATAATGCTGAAAGTATCTGTTGTATGCTTTACCTGCTCCAGTAACACAAGTGTAATTCACTGGACAGAGACAAGAGATAGTGGATGGATCCAGAGGAGAACCAGAAGATAGTCCGCATAGAGGCTTCAGGTTCTGAAAATGATCAGGGATAGAGCTAGAAAACAACTCCAAAAACCTGAATAGAGCTAGAAGATAGCAAAGCCAAGAAAGACCCAGATAGGAAGGAGCCAAAATAGTTTGTATTTTTTATTTTGTAATATTCAAGCTCTTCTCATAAGATATTAGAACTTCCTATCTCAACATGTATCCTTTTATGCATTAAAAAAACCTTACATTTTTGCTGCCAATTATTGAGATTGTTTCACAGCTTTATCTTAAATATTTAGACTTTTGTCTTTACATATAGATTACATAGGATGAACAGCACAATCAACTCTGCTGGATTCTGCCCAAATCGGCTCAAAATGAATGCACACATCTCGCTGTATCCATACTCCTGCAGTTGTATTGTTCTGGATTCATAGTGAAGTGTATTAGATGTTCTGCACTCTTATTGTTATGTATTTAATATAAAGTGAAATACCCATAAAGTCAGAAAAGAAAAGAGTCTCACTTCAGGAAAAAGGTTCTGAACCAGTGATAATTCTTCATTTGCACATAAACTTGGTCAAATATTTAAAGTTGTGACCAGATGGTGTCGCCCTAATCCGTGTATCTACGATCCATTTGTTTTTCTTTATTACACAAGTTAGCGGAAGAGCGTCTGAGAGCCCCTTTTGGTTTTGTTGGAAATTCGCGGAAGTGATTTAAAAACAAAAGCCCTCGTTTGCTTGTAATAATATTATAAACAAGGTGAGTTTAGCGATCACAACGAAAATGGCCAAGACACATATTGAGCCCAGAAAATTAATGTTATTAAGGGCTGTAAATATAATAGGCCTTTGTCTAAAATGGACAACATTGTTAGGAGATTTAAACTATACAGCGATTCTGCACTGCTGTCACTCAGCCGTCTCTCCACTTTCTCTTTTCAAATCAGCTGCTCTTCACGTGACAGAGAGCACGTACACAGATAAGGAGCCGTACACATGCCGCAGTTTGTGCGTGGCTGTGTCTTTAGTTGTAAGCTCAGTGGCGATATGTTCATCTGTCATACTGATCATACAGTCAATAACTTTGTTGTTATCAGCATCTGGTTAGCTAGCTATGCTAACGAATATAAGAAGCTTTTTCTCCAACCAGTGAGTTAAAGGCACATCTTTATATTATCATTAGTTGTAAGAAAAATAAGGGAGTGATTCGTAAAATATCCATAAAGAAAACAATCTGTTTGGAGTTCTGTTTCATATGGGTGTTGAGAGATGTATCCATAGATCTCCTCATGTTGCTCTCAAAGTGCACCAGATTGATGCCTTTAACTTCAACATTTAAAAACAAATCCCCTAGAGGAGGTTAGGTCCCCCCCCCCCCCACACTTAAATCATGTTCACATGAATAGGAAACTAAATACATGTTCACACATCTTGTGTCCATATCTTTCTGTTGTGGTGGTCATGCCACACCGTGCATGCATGCGTGAGTCATGGTGAGATATCTGGATTTAGAGGTTGTTTTTTCTTTGCACAGCATGAAAGAAAGGCCAAATGAATGGGCTGTGATTTTAGTCTTTTTAAGCAGAGGTCAATAATTTGTACGGCCCTTGGAGAATGTTGAAAAAATGGAAATGGCCCTCGAGAGGAAAAAGGTTCCCCACCCCTGATCTAATGGAAAGAAAACATCCAAAAAATACATATAAATGGTGTTCGTTTTATTACCATGTCTGAATTTATCTATAGATTTAAAGATAATCTGCATTTAAACATTTCAGGGGAAAATACTGACTTGATGTAAGTAACTATCTGGGGAAGTTGTGAGGTAATATGATTTTTTGCTTGTTTTTAGTTTGATCCTTTTAACCTGCAATGCCTTGGTAACTGCATGCAAATTAGCCCATTTTAATTAAGATAAGAAATTAGAAAGTACTTTATAGTGTACTAGCTAACGCCTAATTTGCATATCAATATGGTAATTGTGATGACGTTATTAGATACACATTTTACTGTATTCACCTTTAGTGTCTACCCTTAAGTAAAGTACATTAGCCTGTATGCCCATGATAAATTACCTTAGCTAAACCTTGAGCTAATTTATAAATTAGCTAGTAGCCTACCTTAGTTAACTAGGCTATGTTTGTTTTTGTCTTTCGGCTAATTAGCTGTAAACTCGAGGCCCTGGCAGCTTAGTCATTTGTTCATCACCACTCAGCTTCAAATAAGCCAAGAAAACACGGTGCTGCTACCTGTCTGTCTGAAGGGACTGTAAGGTGGGAGGTGCTGCTACCTGTCTGTCTGAAGTGACAGTAAAGTGGGAGGTGCTTCTACCTGTCTGTCTGAAGGGACAGTAAAGTGGGAGGTGCTGCTACCTGTCTGTCTGATGGGACAGTAAAGTGGGAGGTGCTGCTACCTGTCTGTCTGAAGGGACCGTAAGGTGGGAGGTGCTTCTACCGGTCTGTCTGAAGGGACTGTAAGGTGGGAGGTGCTGCTACCTGTCTGTCTGAAGTGACAGTAAGGTGGGAGGTGCTGCTACCTGTCTGTCTGAAGGGACTGTGAAGTGGGAGGTGCTGCTACCTGTCTGTCTGAAGTGACTGTAAGGTGGGAGGTGCTGCTACCTGTCTGTCTGAAGGGACTGTAAGGTGGGAGGTGCTGCTGCACGTGCCTGGTGGGGACATTTGTCTTTGTTATCATGTTTTATTTCCAGTTTGTTTTTCAGCTGTTATTAAAAGATCTTTGTGCTCATTATTGTTTATGTGTGTTTGTGTCCCCGGCTTTCTCTCGTTTTAATCTGCACAAACAAACTGAAACTGGTTCATATCACAGTCTGATCCACCCGGCAGCTTCAGGCAACATGTTTGTCTGCAATAATTGGATTTATTTTAAATGAAACCTCACTGAGACGAGTCCTCAAACCAGAGAAGAAACTGCAGAGGAAAAATCTAAGTGAGGGTCGGATGTCGAGCAGAAGGGTGGGCAAATAAATACACAGATGTTCTGACTATGTTAAACATGTTATTCCTTCCATAGCATATACTGTACTGCTTACTAACCAATGCTAGCAGGACTGCTCCGTTGCCCGGAGCCCGCCGACAGCGTATTACGCTGCCGGGGGACGCCCGGACCCCCGGGGGGTCTCGGGTGGGTCACCGCGCCTCCGGTGATCGCCGACCCCCGCCCCGGCGACGACCCCCCCCGATTTTAGGCGAAGGTTGACCCGTTAGGCAGCTTCCAGACACCGTACGGGAGCCCACTTTCCACGTATTACACAGTAACGCGAGTATTCACTTACTGTGTACTTGTACTTATGGGGGGGGGGGGTCCGTCAACCCAATATGGGGTCCCACTTTCCACATATTACACAGTAACACATGTATTCACTTGCTGTGTACTTATACTTAAGGGGGGGGGGGGGGGGTGTCCTTCAACCCAATACGGGGTCCCTTTTGTCGCGTATATGTATTGATGTACTTATGGAGGGGGGGGGGGGGGTGTCCGTCAACAGCTCCCACATCTCAATATGGATGCCCACTTGCCCGGGGGGGTCCCACAAGTCAATATGAGAGCCCACTTCAGGGCTCCCACATCTCAATATGGAAGCCGACTTGCAGATATACCTATGGGGATTGGGGCGATGTCCCACATCTCAATATGGAAGCCCACTTGTAGATCCCACAACTCAGGGGAGGTGCTCTCCGTGGTGCTCAACCCCGGCCACTTGCAGATATACCTATGGGGATTGTGGCGATGTCCCGCATCTCAATATGGAAGCCCACTTGCAGATCTACCTATGGGGATTGGGGCGATGTCCCACATCTCAATATGGAAGCCCACTTCTCAATATTATTAATAATTCCAAAATAATAGTTTTTATAACTATTAAATATCCAGTAATGGGCCCCCATATTGACTTGTGGACAGTTAGTGTCCACATATAAAAATGAATTCAAGGAACAGAGTTGAACCCCGCTCTACCACACCAAGGAGCGACTCCCATTCCATTGCCCCACAAGTGGCGCTGAAGCTTATTGAACAAAAGTATTATATGTGAGATACAGGAGACTTCTGACTATAAAGTAAAAATACATTTCTCTATCGTTTTGGCGATCAAAATTGACAAAAAAACACATCAAATCACATCTACAAATCAATACGAAGCCAATGAAACCACTTTCAGACTCCTAGCGTGTTTACAAGTTTGAAAACGTAGCAATGGCTTTTCACATCACACCATTGTGTGATATATGATTAATATGATTAATATGATTAAATGAATGTGTATAATGTTCTTAAATGT